GAGGGTGAAGTGGGGTGGGGGTGAGGGTGAAGTGGGGTGAGGTGGGGGTGAGGGGGTGGCTGAGGGAGGCTGGGGTGAGGGGTGTGGGTGGTGTGGGGTGGGAGTGAGGTGGTGGCTGAGGTTGGCTGGGGTGAGGGGTGTGGGTGAGGTGGGGGTGGGGTGGGGGTGAGTTGGGGGTGAGGGTGAAGTGGGGTGGGGGTGAGGGTGAAGTGGGGTGAGGTGGGGGTGAGGGTGGCTGAGGTAGGCTTGGGTGAGGGGGGGGGACAAGATTTGACAGCCATTTTCAAATGTTTCCACAGTGAAGTTCATTTATCTTTTGGTTCTTCGGTCTCAGCTGGGTCATCCAATTCATTGAACTTGTCTTAAATATAAAACAAAATAATTTTTAAACATACACATTATATATATGATATATTATGTACAGTAAAGCTTTCGATTTTCCGAACTCATCGGGACCGAGGCTGTTTCGGATAACGATTGATCTGATAACCCATCACTGCCTAGTAAAGGTTGTGCCAAAGATCTTAGCGCAAGGTCAATCATTAGAGTTAATACGTGTTTGGTTGTTTAGTGTATTGTCTCCCATTACCCACTTTGAGTTAACATTTGACTTAGCCTACGACCCACTTTAAGTTAACATTTGACTTAGCCTACGACCCACTTTAAGTTAACATTTGTCTTAGCCTACGACCCACTTTGAGTTAACATTTGACTTAGCCTACTACCACTTTGAGTTAACATTTGACTTAGCCTACGACCCACTTTGAGTTAACATTTGACTTGAGTTAACATTTGACTTAGCCTACTACCCACTTTGAGTTAACATTTGACTTAGCCTACTACCCACTTTAAGTTAACATTTGACTTAGCCTACTACCCACTTTGAGTTAACATTTGACTTAGCCTACTACCCACTTTGAGTTAACATTTGACTTAGCCTACTACCCACTTTAAGTTAACATTTGACTTAGCCTACTACCCACTTTGAGTTAACATTTGACTTAGCCTACGACCCACTTTAAGTTAACATTTGATTTAGCCTACTACCCACTTTGAGTTAACATTTGACTTAGCCTACTACCCACTTTAGGTTAACATTTGACTTAGCCTACTACCCACTTTGAGTTAACATTTGACTTAGCCTACTACCCACTTTGAGTTAACATTTGACTTAGCCTACGTTCCACTTTAAGTTAACATTTGACTTAGCCTACTACCCACTTTGAGTTAACATTTGACTTAGCCTACTACCCACTTTAAGTTAACATTTGATTTAGCCTACTACCCACTTTGAGTTAACATTTGACTTAGCCTACTACCCACTTTGAGTTAACATTTGACTTAGCCTACTACCCACTTTGAGTTAACATTTGACTTAGCCTACTACCCACTTTAAGTTAACATTTGATTTAGCCTACTACCCACTTTGAGTTAACATTTGAGTTAGCCAACGACCCACTTTGAGTTAACATTTGACTTAGCCTACTACCTACTTTGAGTTAACATTTGACATATAGCTCCCTGGCCCATATCCTGTTATAATTTTTTTTTTAAACTGTTCTTTTTATATAAAGTCCTTTATTCCGAGAACGGATCTGACTAGCAGGCAGGGTTTATTTCAGCTATATCTCGGGGGGGGGGGTCATGGATGACTAAATCGTCCTAGTCGATCTTGACTGACGAACAACACAAAGTTACTTGACGGAAATTACCATTACAGTTATTCACTTCATAAGGTTCTCGATTACTGCTGACTTCTGGGAATTTGATTGTATGTATTAACAGTTTTTTGGGTGTTTTTTTAAATACTTAAATTTTAATTTTTTTTTATTTACATATAGGTCTAAGCATATTTATTTTGATATAAGTAATCTGCTTTGATTTCCCTTACAAAACAAATGAATGTTTTTAAGAAAACCATTTAGACATATGAATTGTAATTGACGTCACACACTGTCTGGTGCACTGTTGACGGGATGTAGTTGTTTTTTTATATTGAACAGAGCGTTACATGGATACAAACATACATACATACACACGCACACACATAGACACACAAATAAACATATACACATGCACGCACACAAAAATATAATGTTAGTATTGTACTTGCCACTCATGCTGCTTGTAAAGTTCTTCGGGCATAAAACTTTGAACGTGGAGCTCCAGGATGAGGCTGTGCGATACTGGGATCGGGTTTTGCGAATGGGGATCAGATTTAGAGATCTGGGATCAGGTTTAGAGAACTGGGATCAGGTTTGGAGATCTGGTTTCAGGTTTGGCTACCTGAGATTGGGCTTGGTGACCTGGGATCGGGCTTTGCGATCTGGGACCAGACTTTGCGATCTGGGATCAGGCTTTGCGATCCTGGGATCAGATATAAGCGATCTGGGATCAGGTTTGGAGATCTAGGATCAAACTTGGGGAGCTTGGATGAGGCATGGAACTCTGGGATCAGGTTTGGAGATCTAGGAATAAACTTGGGGAGCTTGGATGAGGCATGGGAACTCTGGGATCAGGTTTGGGGATCTAGGATCAGGATTCGATTGATTTATTTCTCTTATTGAATATATAACAAAAGTTCGCACAAAGGGTTTGTTTGAATTTGGGAAATGGGTTATTTTTGTATGGTGACGTAACTGTTGGAACACACTTTTTATATGATGGAACAGCTGTACAATCTCCACCCACTTATGTTGAGTGGGGGTGGAGTCATTTCCGGGGGCGGAGTCATGGTCATAGGCGGAGTCATGGTCAGGGGTGGAGTCATGGCCGGAGGTGGAGTCATTTCCGGGGGCGGAGTCATGGTCATAGGCGGAGTCATGGCCAGGGGTGGAGTCATGGTCAGGGGGGGCGTCATGGCCAGGGGTGGAGTCATGGGCAGGGGGGGAGTCATGGTCAGGGGTGGAGTCATGGCCGGGGGTGGAGTTATGCCCAGAAGTAGAGTCATGAACAGTGATCTGGGCACGCCCAAGGGTGGGTCACGGCCAAGGTGGATATTGGTATTTCTCTGGTGACTTATTTGTCTTGGGCTATATTACTTTTGTTTAACGTTTTGGTAACTTAACAAAAGTGGGCGGGGTGGGTGTGTTGGGTGGGCGTCTTGGGTGGGCGGTTTGGGTGGGCGTGCTGGGTGGGCGTGCTGGGTGGGCGTGCTGGGTGGGCGTGCTGGGTGGGCGTGTTGGGTAGGCTTGGCGTGTTGGGTGGGCGTGTTGGGTAGGCTTGGCGTGTTGGGTGGGCGTGTTGGGTAGGCTTGGCGTGTTGGCGTGGTCTACTCCTCGACTGGTGGTATGTACGCGCAATACTCTTGTCCAAAGTCTCCTTCTTCGCAATAGAAAGGGGAGTCACCAGGCGAACATTCTTCTGGTCCGGATTCTCCCCCTTCATCATCAGGGGGCGATGGTATGGCCTCGGCTTGATGGGGGGATGACATTAAGAACAGAAGTCAGTAATTCAATGTAGTGTTTTGACCCTCTCCGGAATCCGTCAAAGTCTTTGCTGCAGTGCTGCTGACACTTTGACGCACAAATTAAAATTGGTTTGTGAGTTGATTGTCTTGTAGTGAGGATGAAGGTGCGGTGAGGTTGTGAGGTTTGTCAGTTGCAATGACCTACAGGCGCGGCTGAGTGTTTGTGTCTGTGTGTTCTATCGCCATGACCTAACAGCGTGTTCTGGTGTATGTGTGTGTTCTATCGCCACGACCTACCAGCGTGTTGTGTCTGTGTGTTCTACCGCCACGACCTACCCAGCGTGTTGTGTCTGTGTGTTCTACCGCCACGACCTACCCAGCGTGTTGTGTCTGTGTGCTCTATCGCCATGACCTACCTGCATGTTGGTGTGTGTGTGTGTTCTATCGCCATGACCTAACAGCGTGTTGTATCTGTGTGTTCTGTCGCCACGACCTACCAGCGTGTTGTGTCTGTGTGTTCTACCGCCACGACCTACATGCGTGTTGTGTCTGTGTGTTCTATCGCCAGGACCTACCTGCGTGTTGGTGTGTGTGTGTGTTCTATCGCCATGACCTAACAGCGTGTTCGGGTGTATGTGTGTGCTCTATCGCTAGACCTACCAGCGTGTGTGACGGCCATGAAAACTGCCAGGACACACAAGATGGCGAAAAAACTTTTCACTGTGATGGCGAATAAAATCTTCATTGCTGTCCAGGGGCTACAGATAGAAAGAGAAATGCTTAAACTAAGACCGAATATATACATTAGCAATGTTTACAAATGTGGACAACTATCTCCACTTAGCGATGGAACGTGAAACTAGGAGATTGTTTGATTAAAAAAAAAAAAGCGTATGTTTCAATGTTGAATCTCTTGAATGCTTCCAATGGTATCTTTCAACCATGTCCACAAATTAATGGGGAAGGCTTTTTAAAAAAAAACAATAGGATTGTGGCAAAATAATTTTTTTTTTTAAATGAGTCTATTTCAACGAAATGAGAGGTCTTGAGATTACAGTGGGAATGAAGAAAGCACGATTGATACCGATCGGGTTCTTTCGGGGACTCCAGCAGGCTTGGTAGTTTGGAGAGGTTTGATCTGTGGGGAGACCAGCAGGCTTGGTAGTGAGGAGATCTTTGGTATGTGAGGACACCAGTAGGCTTAGCAGTTCGGAGATGTTCGATCTGTGGGGACCCTAGTAGGCTTGGCAGTTCGGAGACGTTCGATCTGTGGGGACATCAGGTAGGCTTGGTAGTTGGGAGATGTTTGCTCTGTAAGTTAAGGATGATAAACCTATCTATAAAATTGGCAGCAGATTCGCTTGTAATTAAAAATATTAAAATGATAATCGAATATATAGGTATCGAAACCGGATGTTGATTTTTACAAAACGCTAATCGAACTTTAAAAAATCAACAATAATTCAGATTTTAAAAATATTATGCCATGAACTATTATAAGAGTTTACAAATTAAGTATCCTACAATATACTGTAAAAATATAAAATAGAGAATCGCTTCTCGTTTCTGAGCATTCCTCACGCTGCATCGGGGAAAACCTACCTTGACCTTGCATTGATAAACTCAGGGGACTGAATATTGTTGTTGAAAAAAAAACGTCGTTTGCCAAAATGAATACCGGCGGCCAAAGTTTGTGTTTGTTGTCAAGTGAACCAGCTTTTAAAATACAGATTTCTTCATCGCATTCTGGTACCACTGGTCTGGTGCCAGTGGTCTGGTGTCACTGGTCTGGTGTCACTGGTCTGGTCACTGGTCTGGTGCCACTGGTCTGGTGCCACTGGTCTGGTGTCACTGGTCTGTTGCCACTGGTCTGGTGTCACTGGTCTGGTCACTGGTCTGGTGCCACTGGTCTGGTGTCACTGGTCTGGTGCCAATGGTCTGGTGCCTCTGGTCTGGTGCCACTGGTCTGGTGCCACTGGTCTGGTGTCACTGGTCTGGTGCCACTGGTCTGGTGTCACTGGTCTGGTGCCACTGGTCTGGTGCCACTGGTCTGGTGTAACTGGTCTGGTGCCACTGGTCTGGTGTCACTGGTCTGGTCACTGGTCTGGTGCCACTGGTCTGGTGCCACTGGTCTGGTGCCACTGGTCTTGTCTCACTGGTCTGGTGCCACTGGTCTGGTGCCACTGGTAATTAATTCTACCCTGCACTAACATAAAGCTTTGATGCCTAAGTGTGCTATCATAATGCATCACATCGGATATGCTGTCTATTCTACAACGTTTAAACTGCCGAGAACGATGTATGAAAAAATATCAAAACCTTTAACTGACGCTTTCGAACTTAAACAAATAATCTGCCAATCTACATTGTACCAGGGACCGGTGGACACATTTTCCATTGCACCAGGGACCGGTGACAGATTTATTAATGATAATTCTTTTTTACTTGAGCTTAAATATGTCATCGAAATTGCGCGAAGTCAAACATGGAAGGCCCACAATTATTAACGTACGACACTACCTCACAATAACGACGCAATGGGGACCAGACCCTCGTCGTTAAGTGAATTGTTATAAGGTTGGTTTTGTGTGTGTGTGTGTGTGTGTGTGTGCGCGCGCATGCGTGTGTGTGTGTGTGTGTGTGTCTGGCGGAATGCCTGCAATCAAAACTACGTAGGCCTACTATGTACAAATATAAATTATTAAGCGTGCAGTAACACTAATTATGAAATAATGATAGAAATGTTTAACTATAAGTATATTCTATTTAGAACGTACAGTACATGGTTTACAACTGAAAAAAAAAAAATACATTTTAAATACAACTTTTAATAAACCAAAAATTTTGGGCTGTCACGTCTTTGTCCGAGAAGCGCGGACGGAGATTTAAAGGAGGTTCACTACCTTCATTTTCATTTTCTAAATTATTAATATTTTAACATGTTTCAAGTTTTTATATAATGGATTTGGGCTTAGATAAGCAAAATATGGTGGAGAAATTTAATTATTTTAATTTTTTTTTTTTACTTCAGCGGAGCATAATAGGAGGGGTCGATGTGGTAAAATCATGGGAATCACTGGAAGTGGGGGGGGGGAGGGGGGTTATATAAAATCCACAGCAGCTACAGGTCTCGAATATTTTGCATTTAATTAGCAATACGCCTACTAAATTTAATAACATTGAGAATTTGTCGGAGCATAATAGGAGGGGTCGATGTGGTAAAATCATGGGAATCACTGGAAGTGGGGGGGGGGAGGGGGGTTATATAAAATCCACAGCAGCTACAGGTCTCGAATATTTTGCATTTAATTAGCCATACGCCTACTAAATGTAATAACATTGAGACTTTGGGTCAAAAGAGAGCCAAATTGTTTTTTTTTGTCATGTCCTTTTGGTGCTGTTTAGTTTTTGTTTGGCTGCACAACTTAAAAAAAAAAAATATCACTTACAGTAAAAAAAAATAAAAATTCCATGATCGTTTTTACCCTAACCTGCTCTGTCACTGTAATCTTAAGCCATATTTAAACAAGTATACCCAATTTTAAAACAATTGAACAGGTAGATTTTGAGAAATATGAAGAATAACATTTAGTATTCCTAAAAAAAAATATTTTGAGAAAATTAGAAATTAAACTCTTTTTGGAAGAAATTTAAATCTTATGCATAATGTAAGCAAATATTCGGCATGTTAATACGCAAAAAACTCATGTAAAATTGGGGAAATAAATTTTAAGAGACAAATATACAACACATTATTTTTCTATTGTTAAAAACGCACGAAATAGGTGCTAGCAGAATTGGGAGACTGACCTTGCCTGTACCAGGCAGAATTGGGAGACTGGCCTTGCCCTGTGCCACACTATTGAGTCTTACTAAACGGCCATGCACACATTTTGGTCCTTAGATATTTAAGAAAATTTAGGGTTAGTGCGTCGCCATAAACGGTGCGATTCAGTGCAATTTAATTCTATCTTTAACGTTTATTTATAGTATCAATGAAATGTGCAAATTTGTGTTTGTGGTACATAAAAAAACAAAAAACAAAACAACAACTATTATCCATTAACATTCCTCGAACTTTCTTTTCAGATACTACGACATTGCAACTAAGAGCAATTTTTAAAAAATTTAAATTCTGTTTTTACTGTTATTTGTTCGCTGACGAAGGCTTCTTGTCGACACGTGTGTTGTTTTGTTACGTTCTTTTTTTTTAAATTCATGTTTTCCAATACTTTCTTTCGATCATTTTCAAATTATTTAAAGCTAGTAGTTCCAAGTAACACTTTTTTTTTTTTTTACCTTGAAGTCACATATAAAACAGTTTTAGGCCGAAGGAGATCAACGGGGTATTCAAATAGTCAAAGGAACAAACTAGACAGAGTACAGCATCATAGACAGACTTCAGTATCATAGGCAGAGTACAGTATCATAGACATAGTACAGTTTCATAGACAGAGTACAGTATCGTAGACAGCGAACAGTGTCATGGACAGAGTGCAGTTTCATAGACAGAGTACAGTATCGTAGACAGGATAAACTTTT